TCTTTCCCTTTCTGTTTCCTTCTAACTTGTGTGGAAAACCAAGAAATACCACTGAACTGCTTACAGGGATTGAATTTTCCCTGGAAACAATAAAAATATAGGCATATCTCCCAAACTCCCATGCAGGAAAGAGCATAGCCAGCGGTTAAAAGGAATCTGAGTTTTGAAGATTACCTGTGGCACTCATAATTGTTAGATGATCTAAAAAGGCAACATCTGCTACTCCATTCTTCAAGCACCTGCAGGAAGACAAATGCCATCCTAGTAACATGTCACCTGGCTTTTCCTCCCTCACAAATTCTTCTTCCCCAAAGGTATATTCAGTACCAGTGTCACGGAGCTCACCTGAAGGCTCCCTCAGAGTCATAGAAGGGTTCGTTACTGCTTGTCTCACAGAAGTGGTTCTTGTCTCTGACATAGGATTTTTGTCCTTGGCAGAGAGCACACAGTCGTGGAGCAGCAACACCAACCCCTGGGATGCAACTTGCATTGAAATACTCACTGATTACTGCAGATGTAGGGGGGGGGGGAAAAAAAAAAAAAAGAAAGAAAAGTCAAATGGGAAAAAACGGAAGAAAGAAAAGGGGCCAAACATATCACAGGACTATGGTGCTTTAAAAAAAAAAAAAGAAAACAAACAAATCATTGAATCATCTTCATTGTCTAAACTTCAAATTTGAAACATTTGTTGGAAACAGAGTGATCAAATTTTGCTTAGTTGAAACCATTCTTGTGCTGGCTGGATATTGCAAAGCTTTGTTCCCTGTTGCACACAGAAGACAAAGATTTCCTGTTTTGGTAATAATTCTGCTGCTTTGAGATGGCTAGAAAAGTTCTGAAGAGAGCTAAGAGCCAGTATCAAAAACATCTCAGAGGATATCTCATCAACATCAACATATCTCATCTCATCAACAAAGCCCTTCAGTTTCCACATAGCTCAATGCATTCTACATCTGTTTGCATTTCACTCTCTTTTGCTGAGGGCAGAGCCCTATGGCTCCTATCACTGACCTTGGCTCAGAGGTTGTGCCTCATCCCAGGAAAGATCATTTCTTGCAAGGAGAAAGCCAAGAGGAATATTCCAGCCTGATGTCCATCTGGCTTTATGGCAGCTGCGCACCCCTCGTAGCCTCTGGATATTCAAAGTTCCTCGTCTGGCAATGGCCACAGCAAACACACAATTTCCTGTGACAGGACAAAATATATAACAGAAATAACTAAATCCCAATTCTGCAGCTTCCATCTGTGCACAGGAATTCAACCACTTCTATGAACACTGCTAAGGAAGAAAAAAAAATCTTAGGCATATGAAACATAGGTTCTCATGCCAGGAGTTTTACCATATCCTGGCTATACGGCACCCTGTCAAACTGAGCGATGCAAGTGATGTGCAAAGCAAGAATACAAAAATCTGGTGGAAAAGGCTTACAAGATTGTCCAGCTCCATCATTCAATTCAATTACTTCTCAAGAATTTTGAACATTTTTATCACACTCTTGAGGTATGTAACGGAAAGAATTCCTATGTCTTATCCTCAGAACATACTTAGCACCTGAAACGTATCAATTCCACTATGATTTCATGGCTTTTCAGCCAAACCAAAATTAATTTCTCTTCTCATACCATCCCCTTATTAGCCTCTTCCTACATCCATCTGCTAATTTGGCTTCCTTCTCATATTCATGACCCACAAGTATTTTCTGCTGTATGCTTGATTTTGGCTCAGAGTTACTTATTCTTGCCTCATAAATCATTCATTGCACAGACTGTTCAGGTCTGTCAGGAATGAAGAAGAATCTTACCCTAACAAGATCCCCCACCGTATACTCTTGTCTCTTTAGGGTGAGAAGGAGAGAATTAATTCACAAGAGAAGCTAATCTCTTAAAGAGCTGCTAGTAAATGTTCAGTTACACTAGCAAAGAGCACGGTACAAGAACTGACACAAAGGGAATAAACCCTTCCCTATTCCCTACAAGATGTAGAACTCCAGTACACCAGTGCTGCGGGCAGGGGTAGGTACAGACAATTTGTCACAGTGGCAGTACCACAGGCAGAAAAGCTACTAGATACAAATCACCACTGGTATTTTATTTATCATCACTGAGTATTTCAGAAACAGTTGTTAGTCACCTCCATACTCCCATGAAGTTAATGAAAATGTATAGACTTTTTTTCCAGTAATTCTTGAGCTTTGCCTTTCACTGCACAGCAATTTATCAAAAGTACAAATCAAAAGTACAGCTTACTCTTTTGCTTTATGAGCCTACCTTGATCATAGACCTCCTTTGCCACCACTGTCAAACCATACAGCTTTACAGCAGAGTAAACATCTCCAGCATCCAAGGAGGCAGCATCTGCTTTATTCACCTTAAAACAAACAAACAAACAAAACAACAGCAAAACCCTCAAAACAAGTGTGTTTACAGGGAAACAGAGTAGCTTCAAGAGCAGAGTTTCCGCCCGAGAAGTAGTAACCAGTGATTTTTGCAAGGATTTGCTTTATTTTTAATTGAATCCTTGCTACTAAGCATGGTGAAATGTTAGCAATGAAGGCTGAGTTCCCTTGAAAAGGTACCTGTTCTTTTCCAGTAACATCCTTTCTCACCTCTTCTTTGGGCCTTCCATTCCAAAAACACAATTCTGATGCCAACTGAAGAAAAAGCACCCCTATTTCTTCCTACTTGCTCCCCCAAGACCTCAAATCTCTCTCAGAGTTCTCCTGGCTGTAATATTTTCATAACCCAGAAACTGGAACTGAAGTCTATTAACAAGTGTTTCAGGACTGAAAGAGAACACGAAATAGATTATTCCCTGAACCAATAAGAAAGATTTTCTTTGTTTTGTTTTCCAGGTCAGATTTGGACTCCATTGAAGGCAACTGGAACTGAATGATGACATGCTCTATCCCAATTAAGTTTTAGGTATGCTAATGAAATTATTCTACAGCAAATGTTTATCTTCCTTTTTCATTAGTGTTTTTTTCCAAAGCATACAGCATTATGAAAATTTTATTTCATAATGAACTGGTCAATTACAAGAGCTTATGCTTACAAATGGTCTGATGTCTGATTTTATTCAAGCTAAAGATTTTTCTACGAAAAAAGACTTACTAGGGCCTACAAATAGCAGGGAAGAAAGAGAAGAGAAAATATTCATTATAGTCAGAGCAGAACCAAAACCCAAGGGGAATGCTCTGAGCAAGTTTTAATTTAGTAGTTTGTTTTTGTCTGTTTATTTCCAAGCAGCTTTCTACTTATTTCCTGGAGATTCCAAGGACATTAGCTGGGTAAAATAGTACATCTAGCAGAATGCTCATGGGCCTGAGTTCTTGCCTCTCAAGCTACTGTGTACTTTGTCATATATGCAATACCACCGTTACAGTAGCGTTTTATTCTCCCATGGATTCTGTTTGCCAGTTTCTTCTTCAAAAGAGGATTTGGATTGAAAATCAGTTTTAAAAAATCTGTATGAACTCACCCTGATTTTATCAATGCAGTCATATGTATTGTGGGCTCTGATGCAGGAAATCCTGGCAAACGAATCAATAGTAGCGAGAGGCAGCACAGCCATAAGTGCTTTGGACAGTTCAGCACACTTTCTCTGTTCCAGGTCAGAGAGGGTGCACCACCGGAATTTCTTCCCTGTAGGATCAAAAAAGAAGTCAAGATTTGCAGGATTTAGTGAAACAAAACTCAGTTTAAGACCTTTTGGAAGAGGGAAGTTATTTTATTTTATTTCACTTCATAAGAAAGGTGATTCTGCTCACTCACACTCACATATCCACATACTTCCAGGCTCCCAGGAGATAGATGTGCCAAGCAGCCTGACCAAGATCACTTTGCCCAACATGGAGGACAATGAGTGTTTGCTGCTGCGTCTTTACTATATCTCTTTGCTTTCTCTTGACTGGCAGCAACAAACTAGTTTTTAGATAGATTTTCCAAGAATCAACATTTATTATGGCATGGTCTTTTGCCTCAGAATCTTTCTTGCTTCATCCTCCATGAATCTTAGGCAAGGTTGCTACCCAAAGTGAGGAAACAAAGGCAAGGACACCTTTATGGCTATGGTCTGTTTTCCTGTCAGGATAGCAAAAAGCGGAACGACACTTACAATGTAAGGTAATCTTGTTACCACCTTTGTGTCATCAGACTGAAGTTTTTCTCCTAACAAGCCAACTGTGATGTGACCTTATCAGAACACAGATCTCCTACTCTTCATGTAAGCAATGCATTCCCCAGGGTTTATCAGTTTTATTGCTGTCAATTGTGTCCTTGGTTATCCACACAGGCTATTCTTTTAACCTTTGCTCTGCTGTTTCCTCTGGTGCTTTCATACACATGTATTCCCATGCATGATTTACCCATTGCAATCTTAATATTTCTGTTACAAAGTTCTAGAGAGTCAGAACTAAGCCTGCAAAAGACAAAGTAGTATGGCATGAGAGTGTTGGCAGGGGATCAAGTTGCTTCAGCTTTGTTGAATTTAGTCTTTATAGAAAGGATTGTGTTTTTTAAAGCAGACAATAACTGGTGTTCCAAGCCCCAGCTGTCTCTCAGCACTGAGCTAGATGCTTTGTTAGAACAGCATTTCCCACTGAGTACCATGCTTTGTTAGAAGAGTATTTCCTCTCCATTCTTTCCAGACAAGGACTACCTGATTTTAAATAAGACCCACATCAGAGCTCCAGGGTCAGAAAACCTTGGATCAGAGAAAGTGTGAAAATTTTAAGTTAGAAAAAGTTCACAATTAAATGTTACTTTATAACAGAATTGAATTCCTCAATCCAGGAAGCAAAGATCTGGGAATATTTGAAATTATTATGGCAATTCTGTGACTTGGATCTTCTATCTTTAAACAATGTACCATCTAAGTGTTGCCTTAGCAGCGACAAGTAACTTGCTGCACTTCCTTCAAGATAAGAGAGGTTTATCTTCCATGACAACATCCCGCATGAAAGATAGAAACTAGACACAATCTGGTTATCGACAATGAAAAATCTTATACTACGTTGAACAACAAAATCCTTGCAATCCTACCTCTTCCAAGCAGGAAATTAGTAAGCATTATCTTCATTTCTGGATACCAAGTAAAGAGATTAAACAACCTGCACAGGAACACTCTACAAAGTTGTAGCAGAACTGAACTATTCAGTTGTCAGACCTTTTTCCAGCTGAAAACTAAATAACCAATCAAAAAAAAAAACCAAAACAAACAAAACAGTGCCAGCAGAAAGAATGAAGATGCAATTAGAAGTGGAAGAGAAAGTGAAACTTTTTCCAGGGGAAGTCAAGGGTTTGGTTGGTTTAAACTGACTATGAAGCTACATCCTAAGGTAGTCCAGACATGTCAATCAAATTTCCTGTTTTGCTTTAGGCTTTAATTATTCGACCTTCAATGTACTATGACTTATTTTGTATTCTTTCTACTAAATGCCTTCTTCTCTGAAATATATCATCACATACCTTTCAAGAAGATACTATGCGCTTAAGGAGAAAAAAAGTTATATATAAAAATAGCACACAGTTATGTAACTTGAGAGAATCTTCCACAATGTAATGAAAACCAGGACTGGATGCATAGAAAACACTACAACATCTCTAACGTTGTAATTTCCAGATGTTTAAGCATTGGGGTTTCTGGGTATCTATTAACATATGGGGACAAAAAATTGCCTGGAACAAATAATGTTTACAATTAAAACTTTGAAATTTTTATTTCCTCAAGCATAGCATCAAACATTAGGTACTCCACTTGTTCTGATGCTAATTCAGTGCAATTCCAAAAAGAACCCATTGTGGTTTTAGAAGGGGGCAGCTTGAAACGCACAAATTCATTTTGACAGCATTCATGAGTACGCAGATCTCAACTATTCAAAGGAAAGGGAAACCTTCTACTGTAGAAACTACTGTAGAAAGAAGAAACTACTGTAGCAAGCCGCTTCAAAACTAACAGAGTCACCATCTGTCAATGATGAAACAGGAAAAATACAAGCAAATGAAAATCACAGACACAGTTCTAGCTGCAACTTCTTTACACAGAAGAAAACAAAACCAAAGCATATATTAGAGTTTGTATCCTGGTGACCCATCCAGAGGTCACCTTTCTCTTTCTCTCTCTGCGTCAGCCTTACCTGAAGACAGCAAACTGAAGATGATTAGGACAATTAAAATCACTGTCTTCATGATTACAGCAGTTCAGCAAGGATCCTCTCCCTAGTCTGACGCTCTGCCTTCTCATACCGGGAATTCCACAGTGATGACCAAAGTTTCTGGAAGATAACAAAGGGATTTTAGGCATCAACAAGGATAAACCAAGATTTAAGAAAAAAAAAACAACAAACTGTCAGAGGTTGGTATATATTTGTATGCAAAAGAGAAAGGGACAGTGTCCTATTCCTATCCACAGATGGAAAATATCCATAAATTTTCTGCTTTTTTATGAACAGACATAGAAAGAAATGTAAGCCTCTGCTTTTGAAATAAGTTGTTCTCCTGTTTCAAAAGGCACTAAAATGCCTTTGGGAGGTAGATAAAACTTACTTCTATCTCACAAAAAAAGATATCTAAAGCTGAGTGAATTGTCCAGACTACTGAATCTCTACGGAATATTGAAGGGTCCTTCTCACCTTATTTTTTCACCTGATAATGGTTTATCTACTAAGTAATTTTAAACAAAAAGTAACCCTAAGAATTCAGAACAGAACTGTGACACTGTTGACTTTCTCGACCCTCTTCATTCCATTCTAGCACAGCAGTCTCATCCAAACTGGCTTATTTCTCTGTTTTCTAACACTTAGCCTAGAGTATTACCCTTAGTTACTCTACAGAAGCCATGATTAACATTATTAATTCTACAGCAGAGAAAAAAAAATACACACACACACATATATATATATAAAAGCAGAAGCGTGCATACTGAACTGATCTGATGATGTATAAAATATTGCTAATATGGTTTCACCTTTCCTGTTCAGGAAAGGCTTGACTATTCCAAGAGTCACAGAGAAAGAAAGCCTTTCTCCTAGTTTTGTTTTCCTTCTTCATCTTACGGATTTTTTTAGTACTTTCTCTGTTTCATGTATTTTTGCCATTACTTTTCCCAGATTTCTTTTGTTGCCTTAAGTACTATTCCCTGGTGATTCAGTCCTTATTGCCCCATTTGCTTCTTCCGCATTCATGTACATGTATTTCATCGCTTATCTCTGTATCCTAAGTTCCCTCACTAGATCTGCAACAATTTTTGAGGTGTTACGTTTACCACTAATCCGATCACAGGAGGAGTTACATTTGCCACTCCTTCCTGCACCCCCTGAACAAATGTTTCCAAGCCCTAAGATCTCCATTCTCTCATTTGCTAAGAGAACAACTGCGGTATTAATCCCCCCTTTGACTTGGCTCACCCACACAGGTCTAGCACAGCTCAGTACCCTTTGGGAAGTATGTTTTATTCCTCAATGACTGCAGTCTACATAATCTTTTGATACAATATATTATCAGATGTTAAGAAAACCCCACAAATCTAAGAACAAATCACATGATAAAAGTAATTTTGAAAGAGTTAAAGGTCCACATATTTACTTCTAATTCCAGGGAGAAAGACTAGATCAGGACATGCCATTAATCAGTTCAGTCAATGTCAATTAATATACACGATAAACAAGTGTGTTTCCTTTAACTACACCTTAACCTCTGAATCACTCCTGGGGAAACTTGTCCGTCTGGCCCACCAGCAGGGTGCAGTTAGAGAACAAAGCTAATGGCTCTTGCAAGCCTGTAGCAAAGCACCTAACAGGATCAAATCCCACCTTCTTTGAGGTTTTACTTCCTGCCAATCCTACCATTATGTACAGGATATACGTACAGCCCAACAACTCAGCTAATAACGTAACTATTACATGAGAGCTGCATCTGGATCTCCACTCAACTTTTACGTATTTAAAAACAAAAGGCTTTCCTGTACGTGTCTAAGATACCTGTATAGATACTATGCTGCTGTCTGTGGTGATGTGAAAGAAGCAGAATGACATGAAGGTGTTGTAGACTTCATTTAGGCCTGGTCAGGAAAACAAAACATTAATCACAAATGTAACCAGGTCTGCTGAGAGAACCATGTTCTAAAGCACTGGGGATGTGGAAACAGAGCAGCAGCAGGACTCTGGAATTCTTTTCCTACTGATTTACCCTACGAAACTACCCCCCCACGACTGTCAGAAAATGGTAATTAGCTACTTGCCAGTAATGTAGCACCTATGCATCCATCTAGGGATGCATCTAAGAGAGCAGAAACAAATAACCTCCTCTAAAATCCCCTCTGTGCTGCTAGGATCCAGGCAAGGGACACCGGAGCAGGAACAGATGCTAATGCACTACCCTGCCCCACATCTCACTTGCAGGAACAGCACTGTGTCTGTCTCATGTCGTGTCCGCCCCCACTCTCAGTAAAATCCCTGCCCTGATATCCTGGTTCTCTATCTGTGGTCAAGGACATACCTGCCCCTCAACAGCAATGCTGAGAAGCAGCTGAACCCCAAATGCCTCATCCCCAACTTCTCAAGAAGCAGTCCTCTCCTCAAACCATACCCCTTTTGTAGAGCAGCCCTGTCCCCATACCACAAACCCTCAGGGACAACCCTGTCCCCACACTGCAGCCCCCAGGAAACAGCCCTGTCCCCACACCACATCACCTCAGGGAATGGCCCCGTCCCCACACCACATCACCTCAGGGACGGCCCTGTCCCCACACCACACCGCCCAGAGAACAGCCCTCACCACACACCACATCGCCCTTTGAGGAGCAGCCTCGTACCCCTGTCCCCATT